TTCGGCCAATCACAACGCACTGGAATGCTGGCCACTCAGAGCACACCTCGCTTTTCAGACTGATAAGCTTTGTAAAAATCGATGCGTTTCAGAAAGGCGGGGCATAGAGGAGAAACAATAATGTACAGTATGTGGAAAATAATGTGTTTTTTTAACCTTAAACCGCATAAACATTTCATTACACCAAATACACAAAATAATGTTATTTTTATGACCCCTTTAACTGCTGTTGCTGCACAGCAAAGCTGTTTATCTTTTAAGATTTTCTATATCTGTTTAAAATTTTATTTGAAGTTTTGAATTATGTTTCCTAATGTTTACTATTAAAAAAAACATGTTAAGTAAATTTCAAGTATTTTGACAAAGTACACCAGTAAAATCATGCACTAATTTAGTTTTAATTTTATTCTATAATATTCTATTATTATTATTATTATTTTTTTTTTAAGTGCTTTTATTCACCCCAAAATGTAAATGTTTTACCCTCAGGCCACCCAAGATGTAGATAAGTGGGGTTTCTTCATTGGAACAGATTTGGAGAAACTTTGCATTAGATCTCTTGCTCACCAATGGAGAAAGCAAGCGTTCAAAGTTAAAAGCGTCTTAATGATGGATTTATTTATTACAAACATGCAGCTTTTCACTTCACAAGACATTAATTGATGGACTGGAGTCGTGTTGATTATTTGTGGATTATTGTGATGTTTTTATCAGCTATTTGAACTCTCATTCCGATGGCACCCATTCACTGCAGAGGCTAAATTTCTCGAAAAAAAATTCCATGAAGAAACAATCTCATTTACATCTTGGATGGCCTGAGGGTAAAATTTTCAGTAAATTGAACAAAAGTGACAATAAAGACATTACAAAAGATTTCTATTCAAAATAAATACTGTTCTTTCTTGAAAATTCAGCTTTGCCACCACAAGAATAAATAAACTAGATTTTTTATGCTGGCCACTCAGAGCACACCTCGCTTTTCAGACTGATAAGCTTTGTAAAAATCGATGCGTTTCAGAAAGGCGGGGCATAGAGGAGAAACAATAATGTACAGTATGTGGAAAATAATGTGTTTTTTTAACCTTAAACCGCATAAACATTTCATTACACCAAATACACAAAATAATGTTATTTTTATGACCCCTTTAACTGCTGTTGCTGCACAGCAAAGCTGTTTATCTTTTAAGATTTTCTATATCTGTTTAAAATTTTATTTGAAGTTTTGAATTATGTTTCCTAATGTTTACTATTAAAAAAAACATGTTAAGTAAATTTCAAGTATTTTGACAAAGTACACCAGTAAAATCATGCACTAATTTAGTTTTAATTTTATTCTATAATATTCTATTATTATTATTATTTATTTTTTTTTAAGTGCTTTTATTCACCCCAAAATGTAAATGTTTTACCCTCAGGCCACCCAAGATGTAGATAAGTGGGGTTTCTTCATTGGAACAGATTTGGAGAAACTTTGCATTAGATCTCTTGCTCACCAATGGAGAAAGCAATGGTTCAAAGTTAAAAGCGTCTTAATGATGGATTTATTTATTACAAACATGCAGCTTTTCACTTCACAAGACATTAATTGATGGACTGGAGTCGTGTTGATTATTTGTGGATTATTGTGATGTTTTTATCAGCTATTTGAACTCTCATTCCGATGGCACCCATTCACTGCAGAGGCTAAATTTCTCGAAAAAAAATTCCATGAAGAAACAATCTCATTTACATCTTGGATGGCCTGAGGGTAAAATTTTCAGTAAATTGAACAAAAGTGACAATAAAGACATTACAAAAGATTTCTATTCAAAATAAATACTGTTCTTTCTTGAAAATTCAGCTTTGCCACCACAAGAATAAATAAACTAGATTTTTTTTTTTTTTTTTTTTTGGGGGATAAGAAACTAAGAATTGATGAAATACTAAAGACTTTACAAAAGATTTCTATTCAAAATAAATACTGTTCTTTCTTGAAAATTCAGCTTTGCCACCACAAGAATAAATAAACTAGATTTTTTTTTTTTTTTTTTTTTACAAATAAACAAATAAATGCAGCCTTGGTGTACATAAGACACTTCTTTAAAAAGCATTAAGAAATCTTACTGACCCCAAACATTTTAACAGTAGTGTAGATATGAAAATATTTTATCATATATCAAGACATTTGTAGATGTTGAAACAAAAATGCACACACATACATATACAAACACAGTTTACATCATGCATACAAATCGCCCCCAGACGTCTGATATCATGCACAGACCCCTGGTGCAGTCAAACACAAACACACACACACGCTCTGAGCCATATCACATAAGCATGAACATTAATATGACCCCTGCATGCACAACATAAATCATTCTTATAAACGCAACTATAGACGATATTTTACAGTTATGAATCCAATAATCCCAAATAATCTAAGCAAACATAATAAACGCAAACATAATACCCAAAGACAATACAAATACACTTAGAAGCTTCTAAGATTTAGTGTACATTACATACTCAACAAAAATCAACCCACAGACAGTAATCTACAAATCAATTATGTCTTAATCCACACATCTGTGTGCAGAAGTGGTACATACCATGGCCCATAATCTATGAATAGTCTACACACTGGCAGCCCTGCTCTCTGTGAACTCCAGCAAAGCACTCCATGTCCTGCTCTTAAGCGTGTTTACCCACATTGCTCTAGTCATACTCCGCTGTGGCTGACGGTGATGTCACAGAGCCAGCGTGCCACAGGCCCGGTGGGATTATTAATATCTGTACTTCGCTGGAGTTATATAAGAACGGGCACTGGATTATATTGTTACTGTACAGAAAATGGCTGTGAAGAAAGCGGCTTGAGGAACGGGAGATGCCCTCTCAGAGGTGAACATAATCTCCTCTGATAGCACTGCATCTTAAATGAGTCTGACTAAATGATAATGGAGGAAGAAAGCAGCTGAGCAGATGTGCGGTGTAGTACTGCTGAGAGGACACATGGCTTGCCTGGGACAGGGCAAGGGCTATGAATAGAGTCACTCGATAGCAGTCCATTGGAAACTGAGGACACTGCCTGAGGCAAAAGCTGTAGAACAATCCATCCCCTCCGAGCCAAAACAGAGAAACCTGCTGGAGCTTCACAAGGGTCATTCCACCAAATACGGAGTTACTTTTGTGCCTTTTTATGCAATCAAACATGTTTGAGAGCAAAACTAATTAAACAATTAACACTGACAGGGGAGAGCACATTTCTGTATGCGTGATGAAAACTGCACTGAACTGAAAACTAAAAGTATTAACAACATAAAAAAACAAAACTATGTTTTATTCCGTATATTTTATTCCGTTTTTGAAATGTTTACATTTTAAAACTTTATTTTTGTTTTTAGCAGAGGACAGTCTTAAATAGATAACTCTGTTACCATGATTTTGTACAGTAAACTGAAAAGTGGGTATAGGCCTATTTGTATAAAAATCGATATGAAATCTTACTAACAAACACACTGCAATGTCATAACCGTGAGCACATGAATATTAATACCTAAAAGAACCATAACATTCAACATGGTTATTGTCAGACTTTTAAGTAATATATACACTACTGGACAAAAGTTAATTTTTGTCCAGTGAAAGTTCTTGAAAGACGCCTTGCTCAACAAAGCTGAATTTATTTGATCAATTATACAGTACAATAGTAACATTGTGAAATATTATTACAATTTAAAATAACTTTTTAATGATATTGTAATGTAAATTATTCCTGTGATAGCAAAGCTGAATTTTTTAGCAGTCATCACTTCAGTCTTCGGTGTCACACGATCCTTCTGAAATCTTTCTTTTATGCTGATTTGCAGCTCAAGAACTTTTAAACATTAATGTGCATCCCAAAATATTTTAATTACTTTTTTTAATTAAGCTTGAGGTGACACAATGTAATCCATTAACAATTAAATGTATTCTTTGACTGATATACGGACCAGCAAATCAATTAGCCTACACACTGTGTGAATTTTTCATCTGTCCTTTTTCACAGTAAAAGCATAGGCTACATGCTATTGATGTTTTCTTCTGTTTCTTCTTCTGAATCTTCCAAATAATTCATGATTTTAAACTATTTTGTTCAGTTTGTGACATTTATCATCAAACCCTGTCTGTCTGTTCTCTAAAACATTAACGTAGCCTAATAACTCTATGTTACAAACGAACAACCAGCTCATCATTTTTTGTTGTTAGAATTAGTCAGATTAATAAGTCAACTAGAGTTAAACGTGTACATGTGTATTCCAGAAGAAATTTTAGTATTTTTTTTACGAATCTGGCCTTATTGTGACAGAACGTACGGTGCCCCACCGCAGTAAAGATAGTTTGCGGTTTGATATTCAGATTTCTTTTGGCTATAAATACGCAGTGCGCTGTCATAGACATGAAAATAATACCGAATATCATTCTCCATGATTTGTGAATTCAGGTGGGGGTTTTTTTCAACCCGATTTCGGCCCGAAGGACAGCGTCACCTGAATTCACAAATCATGGAGAATTTGGTATTATTTGCATGTCTATGACAGCGCACTGCATATTTATAGCCAAAATAAATCTGAATATTAAACCGCAAACTATCTTTACTGCGGTCGAAGACCGGCACAAAAATATATTTATCGTGGCCACAAATGAACAATTCGTCCCTATGACTTATTTATTCGTTTCCTCGTTTTAGTAAAACGTGGCCACGGTTTACTAAAACGAGGGAACGAATTCTTAATTCGTGGCCATATAGGCTATACTTTCCACAGGTCATGTGCCGTAGTATGCAGGAAACTTAAATTAAAACTTCAATAATCTGGTCAATTTTGGATTTATTCCAGAAGAAATTTTAGTATTTTTTTTACGAATCTGGCGTACGGTGAACGTACGGTGCCCCACCGCAGTAAAGATAGTTTGCGGTTTGATATTCAGATTTCTTTTGGCTATAAATACGCAGTGCGCTGTCATAGACATGAAAATAATACCGAATATCATTCTCCATGATTTGTGAATTCAGGTGGGTTTTTTTTTCAACCCGATTTCGGCCCGAAGGACAGCGTCACCTGAATTCACAAATCATGGAGAATTTGGTATTATTTGCATGTCTATGACAGCGCACTGCATATTTATAGCCAAAATAAATCTGAATATTAAACCGCAAACTATCTTTACTGCGGTCGAAGACCGGCACAAAAATATATTTATCGTGGCCACAAATGAACAATTCGTCCCTATGACTTATTTATTCGTTTCCTCGTTTTAGTAAAACGTGGCCACGGTTTACTAAAACGAGGGAACGAATTCTTAATTCGTGGCCATATAGGCTATACTTTCCACAGGTCATGTGCCGTAGTATGCAGGAAACTTAAATTAAAACTTCAATAATCTGGTCAATTTTGGATTCAATTGAAAACCACCTCTCAAAAAAAAAGTTAAAAAATGCAAATCCTCATTCATACCTATGCGTGCACTCACGTTTTCTTGTTGTCCTTCTCTGTGGTTTCCAGTACGCTGCTGCTCAGCCAAACAATGACTCACACACAGAATGAGAGAAAAGCACTGACTGTCTCATCACCGTTACAAACAATCACTGTCTCCCCTTTCAGCTTCATCTCTTTATTCACTCACCCTAACCAGGTCAGGTGAGATTTTAATTTATTTATTTCTCACTGGCTCTCTCTCTCATGTGTGTGTGGATGCTCTCTTACTGTCTCTGAGGCAGGAACATTTCAGTTACATAATGTCTGTGCTTCTGCCCACTCACTCACAACTCAATAGCAGAGATAGGATGTCCTAAAAGTGTCATGTCACCAGAGGCATTTATTCGGCTCTCATCATACAGTGTAAGTGCATATGGATTTCACAGACAGTATCCAGACTGTCTAAATAATGTGTGAGTGTGTTTGAGGGAGATTTTCACAGCTGCTGTCCAGGGTAAAATCCCATGAGCATCAATGTACTCACCTGCTTCAGCTTAGTCACACATACTGAGGTTCTCATGGTAACGGTGATGTCATCATCAACACAGGGTGGATTGTTGACTTGCTGGACAGTGGTTTTTGGATATTTTGCGTATACCATAGTACAAAAAGATAATGTAAAAAAAAATACATTGTAATATGCTGATTCGCTGCTCAAGAACCAATTTCTTACTATCAATGTTGAATAGTTTTGTTGCTTAACATTTTTGTTGAAACTGTGATACATTTTGTTCAGGATTATTTGATGAATAGAAAGTTTAGCATTTATTTGAAATAGATTTTTTTTTTTCTTCATTTTTTGCAACAATGTAATATATATATATGTGTGTGTATGTATGTATGTATGTATATATATATATATATATGTATGTACTGCCACTTTCAATCAATTTAATGCATCCTTCCTTAAAGTATTAATTTCTACCTCTTTCTTTCTGTCTCTCTCTGTACAAACATTTGAACACTATTATATGTGATAAACATTCACCAATAACAAAAAGAGACAGTATGACAGCTTTGAGCAGTGAGCAACTCACATTTATTTTACAATACACTTTGTGAGCATTTGACTGTATGGTTACCTTCCTGTAAGACAGTCATATGTAAGATACAAAAAGGATCAACATTAAGTGACAAAAAGATGTTTTGTAACATTGTTCACAGATCTGACATCATATTGTGTGGAGCCAGCTGTCATATCAAACACTGTCAAACCATTGTGTAAAAGCTGAAATGAACTTGTGACTCTTGAATACAAACATAATTTTTTGTTTATAAAATATATCTTGAGTGCACTTTGCTGGATTTTATTTAACTCCACAATGTCAGTCGGATCTCCCAAGGCATGAAGTACCCAATGTTACATATTGTATTATTACAAAACATTACTCAATTGTGCAAAATGTATTCACCAGCATTAAATAAATAAAAAGACGGAAAATTACCTCTGGTTGCTGTAGTGAAGTGGCAAAGCAATGTCAAAAAGGAAAGTCTTCGACCATAAATCTGTGCCATCTTCTACACAATTCACCGGTAATAAATTGAAGAGCAGTTTTTGAGTTATTGTATGCAGCAGGACATTTTACATTTCAGTCAAAACAAAAACACTAATTATTCTCTTTTTTTTTTTTTTCTCAAAGGCACAGTAATGTTAAAGGGAATAAAGTTTTGCTCTAGGTGACTAATCGCTGTACACTCCAATGAGGATGATGATGAGAAGAATGATGCTGCACACGGCTCCACAAATGGCAACACAGACCAATTTCTATGACAGACAGATTAAAAAAAACAACAGAGGAAGATCCACTATGTATGAAATGAATTACTAAATGTAAATTTACCTTTGTTTTTTTTGTGTGTTAGGAAAAACATTTGCATCACTGGTTATAAGCAAATTAACTGGTATTGATTAGAATATACGTGAATCTTTCTTTGAACCCATTAAAATAATTTCTCCTAAAAAGCTGTCACCATATTCAAACTAGGTTAAATTAGAGACAAAGTGATAGTAGATGAAATAGTTAGTGATTGGGCACTGGGGTTTACCTTGGAAACCATGCTTAGGAAGGATTGGCTGCATTAGAGCTGGAGGAGGCGGAGTTAGTATTGGTTTTAACAGACAGGCCCACAGATAAGCCAACAATGAGTGCGACCACAGTGAGCACCACCAAAACAATAAGAGCAAGAATAATGTGTTTCTGTACAAGACAAAAAGCAGGTGTTACAATGATTGCATTTTAAAATTCTGTAGAATATTCTTTAGCTTGTAGCACATATTGTGAAAGGATAAAGCTGAATGTGTTCATAAAATTTATATTCATTTAATTAAGGCCTGTATTATTTCTGAAGCATCAATTGAAACATCTGATGTATAGAAAGCCCTCTATGGTTAGTGGCGGGTTAGCATAAATTAGTGACAGATTATGGTCAGTCATAATCTAAAACATTTAACAGAGCACAATATTGAGCCTCCTTTTGAGGCATTTATTCTAGTAATTTTCCGCTTAATTACAAAAAAAAGAAAGAAAAAAAAAAAGCTAAAGAGTTAATGAACAAAACCAACACAGCCTAATTACATATTCCTATTGGAAGCAGTATTATATTGTGGCTTCTAAAACATCTGTATGGTTTTCCTCTTACCCTGCGTGCCTGCGTCTGGTACCTCACAGCTTTCTTGGTCTCCACTTTAGCTTGGCCGACGTACTCTACTGCATTGTTTACATTCTTTTCAATGTTGTCAATCATCTCCCCCTGTACAACATACAGAAGTGAGTTCATGAATTAATGCTGTATAGGTTAACTAATAAGTGAACAAACTATCACTGACTACTGTATACTGCACCTGGGTCTCAACAAGCATGGCCATGTCCACAAACATGTCATGAAGCTCTTTAATGCTGGACTCCAGCCGCAAGATGTCTTTATGTCTAGACTCGATCTCATTAAGGGCCTGACGAGTTATCTGAGAGTCAGAGATGATCTGAAAACACAGGAAATCTTTTAGTAGACACTAGAAACTTAAAAACAGTGACAACACAGCATAAAACAAAGGAACAGATCACCCAAAATGAGACAGTTTTGTCATGTGCTTCTTCCCATGTTTTTAAAAACCTGAAGCACTTTCTTTCTTCTAAAAAACACTAAAGGAGAAACAGCAAAGAACTGTATTTCATTTAATTACAAAAAATGGGAAGTCATGTTGACCACTTTAGTCTTTAGAGAATCATATCGACCACTAAATGATACTTTTTGGTGTCCTTTTTAAAGTCTCCATTTTGTACCCTACCATTTTGATCAAATATATGCAGCCTTGAGGAGAAGGAACTTCTTTCAAAAATCTTATAGACCCCAAACTTTGAAGTGAAATTGCATATTCAAATTTATCACTGTGTACTCCATGTTATAAATATGAGAGGACATGGGGGTAAATGCTAACAACAGAATTATTATTTTTATCTGAGGCTGAGCCATCCCTTTAAAGTTTAAACAGATACTTATAGAAAGTGCAAAGAAACAGCCAGCAGAGGGTGCTAATTGTTGAAAATTGTTCTGCTCTCATGTCATGCCACATTAACAGAAAACTGAGAAGCCAAAGAAAGCTGGCTCTGGATGAGAGCTGCAGTATTTTAATATTTCCTCCTTCAACATCCAGTAAGCCTGGAAAGAGTCATTTCACGAAGCAAACTCACATCGGAGGTGAAAATAGAAGGGTTTCCAGTCTCCAGCATCTCTTCCAATTCCTCATTAGTTGTTATTCTTCCAGCTACAAGATTCAGAGTGTAATAGATTAGTGAAACACTCTTCTCACAAACTGGCCAATCCTGTTTAGGTCATTATTTGTGTGATAAATGGCCGCGTGTGTGTGAATTTGTCAAGGGTAAACATGAAATGATGACCAGCAATTGCTAATAGGCTAGTCCATTTGTATAATTGTTTGGCTTTGTGTCATGGAACAGTGTATGTGTGTGTACCGTGTGCTTGTAAGTGTGTGTGTGTGGTCATGTTAAGTACGCCTTGGGGACCATATTGATTCAGCTGGGAAAATGAGAAAGAACATTACAATGGCTGAAACCATCAATGTAAAGGCCGCTGGAAAAATACACACACACACTCATATAATATGACCCCTGAGCAATGACCAGCACTTAAATTCATACTTATAACCAGGAAAAATCATACCATACACATACAATATATAATCATACATCACGTATATAAAATACACATCATTGAAATAAAGTTTCAACAAATGTTTCCTAACAAATCACACAACTTTGAATGGAAATTGGTTTCAAATGCAAAGTTGAGGTAACTGGGTCTTTATGCAAATCCCATCAGTCACATGACTGATGACTCATTATCCTATCACATGACATTCTGCTCCTTGCCTACTGTGCAGAGAGGTAAAGCAGGATCTCTGGAGCCCTGTTGCCCAGGTAACACTTTGCCTTAGAGTCTCAGGTGACAACCCGCTCAGTTTCATGTGTAAAGCACAGAAAGTACCTCATTAATCCTCTCACACTGGGACTACTTCACACACACACACACACACACACACACACACACGCGCACGCACACACACACATACTCTACTCAGAGGTCTGCACTACATGTCTGACCACAAGTTACTCAAAATAAATTTCAAATGCAGCATGTCAGGTGAAAAGAGGGGAAGTGGACAAAAATGATTAGGCAATATTTTTGTCCTTATTGAACAATTTAACAATGAAAAATTTATATTTATTATGAAATTACATTTAATAGTGTTAATAAATGATAAACTATTAAATTATAAATTAGTGTTTTTGACATTTAATTTTAAGTAAGCAGTGAATGACGGGCAAGGTAATCTAAATATGAAAAAGAGGAAATAAGCTGCACAATTAAATATCCAATTTTAGCTAATATATGTCCAATATCAACCTGGGACATTTTTAAAATCTCTAATATTGGCCTGAGAACTGATTTGGTACTAATACAGTTGTGCTCATAAGTTTACATACCCCTTGCAGAATGTGCAAAATGTTAATAATTGAAACGAAATAAGAGGGATCATGAAAATTGCATGCTTTTTTATTTTATTTAGTACTTTCCTGAATAAGCTATTTCACACAACAGATGTTTACATATACTCCACAAGACAAAATAATAACTGAATTTATAAAAATGACCCCATTCAAAAGTTTATATACCCTTAAATCTTAATACTATGTGTCATTTCCTGGATGATCCACGGGTGTTTTTTATTTTATTTTGTTGTTTTTTTTTACTTTATTTACTTTTTTAATATGACATTTGTTTTCCAGAACAAAGGTCCAAAAAGAAAACGATAGTACGGTATACTAGTAGTTACAAATAAACATCTTTTTACAAATAAAGGAGTTCCAAACAGATCACAGCGACAACATCAGCAGGGTGTGAGGGAAAAAATATATATATATAAAAAATAAATAAGTAAATACAAAAATACTACAATAGCAAGATAATAATATTTAGGTAAATAAATTTAAGAGTTACAAAGGTATAATGCAGTATAAAAACCAGCGTAAATAAGTAAAGTTATCACATTCCTAAGTGATCTAATACAGGCTTCCATATTTTCCAAAATATATCTAGCTTATCATTGTTAATAAATCGTAACTTCTCAATATGAATAATGCCCGCTAGTTCACTCAGCAACACATCAAATGTTGGAACAATGTCAAGTTTCTACCTCTGAAAAATCAATCTCTTTGCAAGTCTTTCATATGTACTAAAAGAAGGTACAGAAATCACCCCAAAAATGGCAATCATTGGATCTGGAACAATATATTTTTTTATACACTTTTGAAAGCAGATCCATGACTGTTTTTATATTTTGGGATAGTTGTTCATGTGTCCCTTGTTTGTCCTGAGCAGTTCAACTGCCTGCTGTTCTTCAGAAAAATCCTCCAGCTCCTGCACATTCTTTGGTTTTCCAGCATCTTGCATATTTGAACCCTTTACAACATTGACTGTATGATTTTGAAATCCATCTTTTAACACTGAGGACAACTGAGGGACTCATCATGCATAACTATTACAAAAAGTGAAAACATGTACTGATGCTCAAAGAAGGCCACACAATGCATTAAGAGGCGGGGGTGTAAACTTTTTAAATTAGATGATCAGGGTCAATTGTACTTATTTTGTCTTCTGGGAAACATGTAAGTATTTATGTAGCTTCTGAAGTCCAGTACTAAATGAAAAAATATGCCTCCTAAAAATGCCGAACTGCTCAGGACCAACAAGGGACTCATGAACAACTATCATAAAATATAAAAACAGTCGTCCAGGAAACAACACACAGTATTAAGATTCAAGGGTATGTAAACTTTTGAATTAGGTAATTTTTATAAATTCAGCTATTATTTTGTCTTGTGGAGTATATGTAAACATCTGTTGTGTGAGATAGCTTATTCAGGACAGTACTAAATAAAAAATAACATGCAATTTTTATGATCCCTCTTACTTTGTTTCAATTATTAACATTTTGCACATTCTGCAAGGGGTATGTAAACTTATGAGCACAACTGTATATCATTCATCCCTAGCAAAAATAGTTCTCAGAGACAGTAAGTGGGGTTTTTATTAATATATATGCACAATCCTTTTAAACAAAAATAAATGTATCCTTTTAGGGTAGAAATTTGTCAGCTGTTAATGGTCTAGCTCAGTGTTTCCCAACCTTTTTTTAGTCACGGCACCCTTTGGAAATTTTAACAAGTCTAGCTTACAGGGCTAGTTTTAAGGTATCATATGTACATATGTGCTTGTGAATGTATAAAGATTAACATGTGTGACTTACTGATCTCCAGCTGTCTCTGAATCCTGCTTTTGCTTTTCTCTCTGAAGGACATTTGGGCTTCATTATATTGCGTCATGACCTCCACAAACTTGCGTGACAAGTTAGTGTACTAAAAAAAGATACAATAAGAGCAATAAATCAATTTGGGATTAAAATGATCATATTGGATAGTTGGATGAAAAAGAAGAGATAAAGATTTCACACCTGTGTTTTCTGAATGCGTGCATCCACTGAGGCTTGATTCATCTGTTCATCTGGAGGTAGATTCTGTTGCATTGCTAAGGAGAAAAATAGATGGGAACTTATTTAATTTCCTTTTCCAAGTGCATTGGTGCTCTTATCTTCACTTTCATCAACAGACAGAAGCAGAACATCCAACTCACATTTGAGGCTGGTCCGGACAAAGTTGGCATGTTTCTTGATTTCCACTGTGAGTTGTTCCAGCTCTTCTTTTGTCCCTGAAAGCAAAGGCATATTTTAGAATAAGAGAAATTAATAATATTATTCAGCAAGGATGCATTAAACTGGCAAAAAAAGTGATAGTAAAGACATTCATGTTACAAAAGATTTCAATTAAACGTTGTTCTTTTGAACTGTCTATTCATCAAAAAGTCCTGAAAAAATAGGCTATATTACATTTTCCAAAACATATTAAGCAGCACAACTGTTTTAAACATTCATTTTACAAAGAAATGTTTCTTGAACAGCAAATCAGCATATTAGAATGATTTCTGAAGGATCATGTGACACTGAAGACTGGAGTAATGAGGCTAGAGTATTTACATCACAATTATGTTTCTTAAAAAAAAAACTTTTCACAATATGACTGTTTTTACTGTATTTTTGATCAAATAAATTCAGCCTTAGTGAGCGTAAGAGACTTCTTTCAGTAAATATATTTCTATTGCACTATATTGTATATAAATATTATCATTTATTTAAAAGATTCAATTACATAGAGGCTTCTTCCTGATATTTCAGGGCCTGATGTTCACTTGATATACAACCCAATACATGCTAGACTACAAATAAACCATCAGCTATCAAAATATGAGTTTTTTTTTTTTTTACAGATAACCGTTCCAGAAAAACTGTGCCCCTATAAAGCACTTTTACATTATGATGTGTCATGTTGGAGAAATATTGTGGTGGTATATGTGAAAATATAAAATGAAGGCAGGTATTTGGAAGAAAAGTGACTATAGATGGCTCTGTTGAGTCTTAAAAAGGAGAAATAATACACATCCATTATTACATAGAGTTTGTTGCAGAAACACTCAGTCACACCCTCACTGATGTCTTTATCTCAATCTCACATTCCTGCCTGCATGTTCTACACATGCCCTGCAAGTAACCGCAAAACTAACCCAACATACTCTCTGAAAATTAAGAATGTGATGGGAAAACTACAATTCCTTGCATGCCCAAACTTGACTCCCTATGGTAACTTTTAAGAGGTCTCTTTTCCCTATTAGTTTTAATGATTTTACGAACATATAGTCAATATGAGTAGACACCATTCACAATCCCTCATGAACACTGACTAGATATTACAAATGTTTTTGGCCGGTGTGTGTGTGTACAATGCATGTGAAATTTTTTTTCCCTAAAGCAGTTTCCTGGCTGCTCCAGTGGTGTACTCGTATAGAGTAATGTGATGTGATATTTCCGACAGAGGAAGGCCATGGTCTTGTGCTGTTATAAGGCTATGTGCTGCTGGGCAGAGAGTTATAAAACCGTTTCTTTGTTCATGTCTAAACTGTGTATCAGTTTTTTGTGTGTGTGTGTGTGTGGATATGAATGACAGAAAGTTTGAATGTGCGCTCAAAGACAACAGGAGAATGACATCCATTACGTAATAAAACAAAGAGGTTGAAAGCTAAAATGAAGTGAGTAATTTGGATAAATTTACAACTCAAATAACAATCAGTATAAACTAGCTGTGGTGTCATTTTAACCCACTTTCTCAATGAAGATATTTTGAAGTATGTTGTTAATCAAACAGTTGCTGGTAGTCAATTGACTTCCATAGTATTTTTTTTTTCAGTCAAAGTCAATGGCTAACATCAACTGTTTGGTTACCCACATTCTTCAAAATATCTTCTTTTGTGACAAAAGAAACAAACTCATACAGGCTTGGAACATCTTGACAGAGTAAAAAAATTATAAAAATTTCATTTTTGGGATGAACTATCCATTAAGCAGTGTGAAAGTCTTTCACAGTACACAAAGGGATATCTTAATGGGGCAACCTGGGGTTAAGTGCCTCGCTCAAGGGCTCAATGGTGATAGTTCATAAACCACTTCAACCTGCTAACCTGCACCACCTTGTCACTTTGCTCAGATTTCACAGTCTTTGAGTAAGGGTGACTTACTCTCATCAGGGTTTGGGGCTGAAAGAATCACACTATGTTTTTTCTTCACCTCATTCACTAGGGAGGAGATCTTGGCAATGACACCTCTGACCTCCTCCACCTGAAATAAAGAAAAGCGAAGTTCAATAGTTTTACTTCAGTGTGCTTCTAGACATGAACTACTAGGGATGCATGTTACAACATGTTTTGTTATGAAATTTCTCTTTACATTATAATGTTGTGATGCCTAATATCAGTGGTACAATTTAAGATTATTATTATTATTTTTCAATTAATTATTTAAATTAAATTATGCATTCATTTAAAAAGTGCTGATTTCAGTGATACTGTCAACAAAAACTAAAAAATGTTAAACTGGAATAAAGTTTAAATAAACTGAAACACAAATATCACACAAAATATTACCTGGCAGCCAACTAAAACAAAACAAGTTAAAGTAGGTTACTAAAAATCCTAAAACAAAAACTGAAATAAATATAAAGTTAATAAAAGCAAATCAATTACTAAAACTACAGTTATATATAAAATGTATATACTGTATAAAAATTGAAAATATAAAAATAAAAGCCAATAAGAGTATACAAATAACACTTGTAGATTTACAATATCAGCCAATTATTGGTAATGAACACACATGAAAATAATTATCAGATTTTCATAATAAAATTATTCGGTCAGAATTTTACTGCATTTTAATGCATTCCTATGGACGGTCCATCACCAATACATAGTGTACAGAAGAGGGGCACCTTTCATACAGGTGAATGACTGTACCTTTCTGAAAAAATCCTGCATGAAGCCATCTCTTTCCATGGACACAGTGACACCCCCATCTTCACTGGCACTCTGCCTGCCCTAAAACAAGCCACAAAGATACACATTCAGAATTGATCAAGCATGGAGAAAGACCACTACACTGATATGAGCATGGGAAGTAACTTAGACATAACCAGTAAAGACCGTTACTGCCAAATGTGTGTTAGTTTATGTAAAATATTGTATTTCTGTAAGTAAAAACACTGATATCCATATATTATTGCCAATGTTAACAATTAGTCTAATTGGTTTATTATTAATCAATCACTTGCCCCATTCAAATCAGCCAGTCGGTCCCTCATAACAATGTCGTTGAAATGTCGATTATCTTCTGTTGATTGTACACGTCCCTTGCGGTCCGTGCGCGTTAAAGTCCATTGCAAGTCCTGACCAGACCGCGACAAACTAATGTATGTCGGAGAAAGTACATTAATTCACCTTTGGGGTTCGTAACTTATCGATAAAAGCTTATAAATACGGTGTTTACGTTCAAAGAGGCATCCAGTTATGAAGCGTTGTGTGTCTGTTTGGTTGCCATCCGTGCTATCGCCAGCTGACTGCTCTCTTCTCTTTGAAAACCGTGCGCGCAGCTATACGAAACGGTGCGGTAGTAACCATAGAAACAGCATGGCGTTGTCAGGTTATTTTATTTTTCTATATCTCTTTACTGTTTGCTATGTGTTTCGATTAAATGGATATTACGATTCTCATTGTCATTATTCAAGTGTAAATTTTAGTCCTGACGACGCAGCACATAGAAGACGGCATCACGTGATGTCTGTTACTTTTTACAGCGCTCTTCGGAAGGGACCAATCAAAATCATTTTCGTTCGCCAAGCTGCCGTCTACTGTAAGCCTTTATATAAATTGCACGGGTATAATTAACTTGTATGTCACGGGACAACACTTTCAATTGTTTTAAGCGGTTACTTTGAATGTGTCATTGTCTGCATTAAGATAAACAATAAGATTGCAATGTGACTGAATGGAGATTAGGCTTTCTGAGCCTTCATGCGTCACCTGCAGTTAGCTACTATTTAATAAACAGCTATTCGTGAAATTTCCCAAGACTTTTTTTTCACTAATTAGCGATATATGAAACAAGACGGTGACAACGAAGTAAACTGGGTTGTCCGCAATGTCAAAATAATCTTTCAGGTTTTGTATTACATACATCAACTCGTATAATGCCAAAGTTTTCTCAAATCCTTCTCGCTGTGGACTAAATTATGGCAAATTAAGAACCAAGCCATGTTAAACTTGAGCTTTATTCTTCTCGCATCAATGCACTTCAATCCTGATTTATCCCTTCAAATACAATCCTAAATGACAGCTTTCTAAGCTTCTGCTCTTTCCAACATTTCTGATCTGTGTAAAGTTTCCTTACCTTTCTTTTGTCTTATGCTATAATCAACACTACAATTCAATTTACAAAATGAAGGTATCAGAACTGCAACGTGATAAACAGAGCAGCAACATTTAATTTTGTGACAAACATGAAAACCATACATGCATATGTTATAGTATGTGAACGCTGAAGGTATTAATCAGACATAACCATTTATCTTTTATACTGGAAACCAGAAAATAAATGTTTACTTAATTCAATTAACAATCAGGGCCTCTAAACATAAAATCCAAGAAATCTGCAATTTGAACCATCCATTTATACACAAAAATACATGGTCTTTATCTTTATAAGACACCAGAACAAGAACAGAGAAATAAAAATAGGACCATATGCATTTACCATTACAAACAGAAAACAACTTTGTACCTGCTTCTCTCTGAAAGCACTATACCTAGAAATATAAACAAAGATTCTTCTGACAGTGTACTTTTTCGCCACAACTCAATCGACTTGGAAAAGAAACTAATAAAAATGGCCCTATCATTCTTCTGAGACCCTGCATCTTATCACTGCAATGCAGGTTACAGGTAGTACAAGAAGTCATCCAGGTTCATGTTGGGCTCCTTGTGAATGCTCTGACCAACCAGGAAGGCCAGTTTGTGGGCGTACTGACATGGTGCTGGCACTCGGACGATACCCTTAAGATAAAAAAGAAGAACCACAAAGAATATGTGAGATGACATATTATTATAGACTATTAACAGTATTGTGATACTGATGTAGTGATCTACATTGGTTATTACCTGCCAGTTGTAGTACATGTGGCAGAGTTTGTAGGTGAGTCTCTGCATGTGATCTGGTTTGAGGCCGCTGTTGTCAAACACCACGTTGTAGTGAGTAGGTGCGACGCAACCAAAGCGCACAGCCTGACTCACTATGAAGAAATCGTACCTGAGTGAAAGCAGATTTAGTACTGAATAAATGTGAGCAGTTTGCATTATTTGACAAATAAAAAATAGCTAATATTAAGGTATCTGTTGGGTTTTTAAAATCAAATGTAAGACTTTTTAAAACCTCAAGATATTTATTACTTAATATATGCATATTTATTGAAATTGATTTCTGTACCAGTATATCAATACATGCGAATTAGAGGTTGATTGATATTGGATTTTACTTAAACGATGCATTTAAATAAATGCAAAAAAATGGTCTGTGCAGTGTAGACATCAGTAAAATCTATATATTGAACGTGTTAAATAATGTACTTAAATCTTTCCTTCCCGTGACAGTGCTGCCCAGAGAGAAGCTACACAAGTTATATTGAATTAAGTGGCAAGATACAATTTGTGCAACCAAAATACCAATACTAACCAGAAAAAAAGATTTTATGCATAAGAGTAAAATTTTAAATACGCCCAAAACACACTGGGACTACATTTTTTGCAAACTGCATTTTTACTTTGAAACATATTTAAAATCATAGCCTTTTAGTTTAATCATCACATTAGGCTGTATCTTGATCCTGGTTTTTCTGTCCCCAGATTAAGACTTAAAATGATATTCAAGACTATTGTTATTCCATATAAGACCTTTTATGATCTTAAATTTGAAAAAACTGAATGCAAGACACTTTAAGACTTCTTAAGGTCCCACCCAGACCATGTGATTTATGAATAGAGACCAGGCGTAATGACTATACGCACCATTCTGGACGAGTGACTTCAGTGTCAATGACTGTCCCCGGAGGAGGGTTGGCAATTTTGCCATCAATCCGGGCAAAGAATCTGGAGCTGATTCGCTTTTTCACCACCACTACTGACAGCTTGGGCCTGTATGAAAAATGTAAACATGATTGCAACCAAGGGAATTCAACATCCCCAAAGTGTAAATATGTCAACATGAAGTGTGGCTCACTCGTAATCTTGCCCCATGGTCTTGATGGACTGCATGATCTGAGGGACTTCGTAGTCCACCACGCTCCGCAGCATGCCGTCTCCAACTCCATCTCGGTACACAATGATCCGGGAGGGCAGAGAATTGTTGTACTTCAGATAGGCCTTCAGAGCAGCTGAAAAGACAAACAGCTTCAGTATACAGTGCTGCGGTAAAGACATAATTTTGTATGCCACTCGGTTAGCGTCACCATAGTTCCCTCAAAAGAAAAAAAACCCCAAAAGATTTTTTCAATGGCTTTTGGATTATTGCAGAAAAGAAGATGTGACCAAAATACATTTATTTTAACGCAATTTATAATAGATAATCTAAAAGATTATCTTGATTACAAATTAACACAACTTGTGTATTCTGAAGCCTAAATATAATAGCCAAAAGTAAAAAGCTAAAGTTAGACTATTACTTAAGCTATTATAAATTAACCACTATTTAGCTTCCAGCACCTTTTTCAATGTTTATTTAAAAGCTACAAGCTGGAAAGTTGTTAAAGTCGGCATGAAACGGAAGTTGCGATTGTCTTTTCTTCTCTACTGTGACGTATATCCGAGTGAAACAGCATCTGAAATGAGAGGGCGGGACTTGATTTCATCCTTCAGGAATTGATTGAATCGTTGGAAGCTGCGGCGTTGCTAACAAAATGGAGGCAGATCTGAATGCCAGTTTGCAGTTAGTGGTGGGGGATTTCTCTCCACTGGATTCACAGCCGACACCCAAGCATGAATAAATATTTTATTTATTAAGGATGACGACGACGATCAACAGCACAAAACATGCCTAAACAGTGTGCACGCGCGCGCGAGAGAGAGCCACTGCCTGAATGACTGAGCGCGTCCTACATCAGGTTAAGTCATATTCATGAAAAAAATTAGTTTGCGATGTCCTAAGAGTAATGTTGTCGTAATATCCAAGCGGGAGGGGAGGTTAACGTTTTTGATTAAAGATTACGAGGGCACATGAATTAAAAAAAAATAATGAAGTGCACGGATAAATTATTTATAATAAACACTACAGTATTCCATTAAAAAATATGAATTTTAAATTTTGATTTCATGGTGACTTTAAAGCGCTCTAGTGAGTAAATTCGTTTTCCCTATTCGGTGCGATGACGTTTAATGTGTCTGGCAACCTCTTGTAGGAAAAGGTAAAGTAACAAGGTGATCAATAACCCAAATATGAGAATTTTTCAACATTTCACACCTTGCAATGACCCTTTTAGTGCATCAATGATCTCCTGACCACGGTTCTGCAAGACACACTTGGAGAACCACCTAAAAAGGTGACAAAAGCGACATTATACAACAATTATGGCCAATCACACAATCTGAGTCTCTAAAATATTACTATTTATTAACTGTAGTCTATTAACTGTAGTACTATTCATGACAATAACTTTTTTGTTTTATTGCTCAACCAGTCCAACATAATACTGAGCACAAACTTTAAATGTATCTGGTTAAACAGTGCCATTTTCTAATTATTATATTACCTGGACATGCCCTGGTTCAGACTGGCCACCAGTGCTCCGATAGATCTCTTCCCAGCAGCAGTATCGTGGTAACAGTCTATGCCCACAATCATCAGCTGCCGGAGCTGAAAAACAAAGATTCATTGTGAAATCTGACACTTGGCAAAAGCCAGCAGAACAGCTATAATTTGAGTCTTACTGGGATTTCTACACTCCACAGCTCTCCTCCCATTTTGAAGTTCATCTGCAAAGCAATCTTGGTGGCCACAGTCATAAGCGCTTGAGGTTTGCTGATGGTGCGAGACACCACACACTGACTAGGAGTAGGGCAGTCCACACACAGGTACTTCTTCACACAGTCATACTTGTCCTTTCGATTGGTAGGCAGGATCACCACCACCTATGACAGGCACAACAGCAGTTTGAAACAAAAGCTCTGGACATGCAAATCGTACATGCATGTGATTGCCAGACTCACCATCTGTGTTTCACGTGCTACGTTTTGTTGCAGGGCTCTCAGGAGAGATTCTTGACGATCCTCATACTCAATCCTGCTTGGCCAGGAATAATTACTAACATGAAAATGAAATGCAAAGTTTTTAACAATCAAGATGTCACACAACTCACATGATGGCCCTCTGCATGCGGATACCCATGGGCCCAGACACTTTGTTGAGAGTTTGAAGCAGAGATTGGGCAACGTCCGCATTTCGCCGCGTGTAGAACATCAACCAGTTGTCCAGAGACATGCAGCTAATCAGAGGAAGACCTCTCATCTCTTTAGCCCAGTCTGCTGTCCATGGGTTATACTCATACTAAGGGATGAAAATGAAAATTAACAAGCCTGTTACATTATGAATGGCTGCTGGGATGTGAAGTCATCTCTCTTACCGCTCTGCCTCCCTGGATGATCCTCTCGGAGGGCAGAACTCTTCCATTCAGACTCAGCAGTCGATTCTCAAAGCTCAGACCCCAAGTAGTCAGTTCATTCTGCACGTCTGCATTTCTAAAGGGAAGTAGAGTGGATGTGAGAGTTGATAAGATATATTAACACCAAATTTAAACAATACATCAATAGGGCTCATGTAGAATCTATACCTGTTGATGTTGGAGATTAAGCGGTTAATTCTGCCCTCTCTCTGTTCAGGACTCAGCCTTGTGTGTGAGGCAAGATCCTTCATGATGTTGAAATCAGCACGCATCTTATCTGTCAGACCTTCACAGGAAACAAATGCATGCACATCAGAGTTCTTTACAACTGAAGACAAAAAACATTAACTCATTTTACTCCATATTTACTCCACATACTCTATTAGCTATGTCTATTAGCTTAAATCTCATCTATATGCTAGTATATTCAGAGGCTGAAAAAACTACATATACCACTGGCCATCAACTTGCAAATCATGAGCTATATCTTCGATCACACTGATTAGGTAGTAAAATTAAACAGAGAACAAATTTCACTCCCATGGCCTAATGGGATAGTAAAGCACTGGCAATTCAGAATCTCAGAAGTAGTAGCAGGTCATCCAGGTACTTTCCATTTGCTGTTTTATGAACACAGTGAATTCATACATACTAATTTCACATACTGATTTTCACCTGCTATGACTTACTATATATGGTTTGTCAGTGTCTTCAGTTATTCTAAACTACAGAATAATGTCTATATATGAAAAAAGAATGAGTCCTTCAATATGACCCACCCCAGCTTCTTATTCAATAGAAATAGTCAGAACACATAACATGAAAGAAAACAACGCTCTTCAAGCCATTTTAATGAATCTTCAAAAAGGACTTACCTGTGAGGTAGCAGAACTCTGGGACGAGCATGGCAGGTCCCGGTGGAGGCCGACCTGATGGCCCCAGTCTCTTCACGTGACTAACCAGAAGAGCCTGGTTGCCATCTGTTATGTCCAGACCATATTGCTGGAGAGGAGGCAAATAAATTGAGTGTGACAGTAAAATTCTGCAACTAGTGTCAAAATAATTACCTGTATCGTTAAGTTACCGTTTTGAAGTAGTTCTTGAATGAGATCTCTGTATCTCCCTTCTTAAATGTGTTGTTGGGTGTATGATCCCAGGCAATGTCATCAATCCTGTACGTCTTGTTATTGTACCTATAATCGATAATTTGTTACACACCATTACTTGCTACTTCACAATTACATTAAACAACTTTTAGAGATTTAAAAAATTTTAAAGTAATAAATCAAAGAAAATCTCACACTATCATTTAAATCATTGATCCTCAAATCTGGCTCGCGACATCCACTTTCCTGCAGAGTTTAGCTCTAACCCTAATCAAACACACCGGAGGTTGCTAATCAATGTCTTCAGGATCATTAGAAAATCACAGGGAGGGTTGTTTGATTAGGGTTGGAGCTAAACTCTGCAGGAAAGTGGATCTCGCGAGCCAGATTTGAGGATGACTGATTTAAATTGTTGGGGTCAGTAAGATAAAAAAAAAAAAAAAATTATGCAAAAAGGACATTAAATTGATCAAAAGTAACACTAAAGACATTTTTAATGTTAAAAAATTATTTCTAATTTAACTAAATGCTTGTCTCTTTTGAATTTTCTATTCATCAAATAACCCTGAAAGAAATGTATCACAGTTTCCAAAAAAATATTAAGCAGCACAGCTGTTTTCAACATTGTTCACAAACGTGTCTTGAGCAGCAAATCAGCATATTAGAATGATTTCTGAAAGGTCACGTGACACTGAAGACTGGAGTAATGGCTGCTGAAAATTCAGCTTTACCATTATTTTTAGGGATGCACCGAAATGAAAATTCTTGGCAGAAGCCGAACAAAATGAAACACTGGGCCGAAGGCCGAACACGTTTTTTCCCCCATTTTGCCAATTTTTTCACCATTGCATAAATTAAAAAGCCAAAATGTGCTTTTTATTGTTTTGTCATGCTTTTCAAAGAAAAAATCGTGTACAAAACAACAATTTAAAAATATTTACTTAACACTGAACATTTTTTAACGTTCTAGCTAAGGGTGCGCCGATCAGGATTTTTGAGACTGATCACCGATCGCAGTATCTGCCGATACCCATCACCGATCTTTTTAAAGCCTTCTTTTTATCATTTATAACTATTTATTGTGATACTCCAAACAGGATTTTTAGAATGGTGAATGGTTAAACACGGGCAAGAATTAAAAAGTAATGCAATTTATAAACTTCAGTGACGATGTGACACTGCCTCAATTGTGCAAGTGACAATTCCTGTGTCAACTGTGCAGCGTGCAGCTCGCTTATAGACAGACGCGATGTGGTGATTTTAAGCCATTTGCGTATTTTGAGAGAAAAAGAGAGCGCGCACGAGTGGTGATTCACTCACGCTGTTTGTGAATTAACGTCTCGCGAGGTTTTCAAATTACTTTGCAAGTTATTTAATGAAGAAATATGAAGGTGAGTACCTCACCTTTAGCATTATATCCTAATTAGGGCTGAACGATTTTGGAAAATGATCTAATTGCGATTTTTTTTTACCAATATTGCGATTTAATATGCAATTATTTTTTAA